AATTGGTGAACATTTGGATTGTATCTATTTATGTTTATAATGAATTTATGAAAACTTGTGGTGAATTATGATATTTTAATTATGTTTATCATTCCATGTTTTATGTATAACTTTTAGGAAATTTATTATTATTTCAACTTAAATTTAGTTATGTTGGTGAATGCATTTTAGAAACTTAAGTTATCAATAATTATATTAAATTGTACATTAGCTGTCAAGTAATGAAACTTGCTTAGTAAAAACAAAAAAAACAAAACAGTGAACCTGTGAACCGGCCGGTTGGACCGGTCGAACCGCGAACCGGCCACCTCTCCGGTTCGCTGACCGGTCCAAGTTTAAAAACATCGCTGGTCAGTGTACCTCGGCCTTGCCATTAATGTGGAGTTCTCCTAGATGTCGTAATCCTCGAGTGTGCGATCTTCATCTAGTTGTTTGCCGGCCAATACGAGGCTCTGGTGCTGAGGAGGGATTCCATCTTTCAGCTGAAGCTTGGCCTTGACGACTTGGATGGTATCGGAAATTTCCACCTCGAAAACAATGGTCCTGCTGCTTTGGGATATGACGAAGATCTGCATGCTTGCCCGGAATGGACTTAGAATGGTTAAGATAGTTTCGAGAAAGCGTGGACTGTGTTTAGCTGAGAAGCGTGAATTTTGGATTTGAATCATTAAGCGCGGGTTGATTAAGTGGTAGCATATAAAGCAGGTTATGCGGATTGAAATCCAAAGGGGAAAAGGATTAAGCAATGAAAATCTTTTTTGTGAATCATTCAGGACACACTACTTCACTTTAATCTGAAATTTTGGAAATTTCTATTGCCTTTTGGAAATCCTTTTTACCCTATAAAACTTTTAAAAAAAAAAATTACCAAGGGACGTGTGAGATTTAAAAAGTAAAAATGGAGAAAGAGGATTTGAATCCAAAACTCTTTTACACCATGGATTGGGGCGTGATGTGCCTTTTAATTTAATATTAGTTAGAAGATATCATCCACAGACTATTCTTACATGATTCATGGCCATCGTTAATGTAAAATAAAGGAACATGTGTCACTTTATTATGTGGGGTAAAGAAGTATAATATTAAAAATGTGACAATGTTTGTGAACTCCCAAAATACTAATGTATACTTACTTTATGGAATGAAAAATATAACGTCTAACGAGTAATAAAGAATACATACATATATATATATATATATATATATATATAAAAGTATACACATACATCTGATTGGTGTAGAAAGCTACCATTATGAATTTTCTTTGCACTTCTTTCTTGCTTTCTTTGTATTTCCTATGTTTACTTTACTAATCAATCCCTCCATCCCAAATATTTGTCATTTTTGGGCAACTCAACATTTTAACAATAATGACCTAATGGTGATACTTACACAGAGTTTTCAAAGTTCACCCTCCACATTAAGAAATTTGAATGGTGTATATTATCTTTCTAAAAAGGACAAGGAATAGGAGTGGCAAAAGAATAAAAATTATGTACTAATTTTTTGAAAACGACACCAATTTGGAAAACGCAATAATGAGAAAATTACGCTTTTAATGTGAGGCTAGGAGCTTGCCCACCAAAAAAAAAAAAAAAAAAAAAAAATCGAGCCTAGGAGTTTCACGTAATTAGCAAGATTGTCAAGTGCTGTGAATTGGACCGGTTGGGGTTTATCCCCATAAATCTCTGGTTTTGGTGATTTTGTGTTTTATTGGTTTGACTGAACTCAAATTCGACCCACTAAAATTTTAAATTTACATATGTCTCACAGATATACGCAAGTTGCAGGAGCTAGACAAGTCCTCTTCACGGTGCTAGAGACGGCTGTGAATAAGGTGGTGGAGCCTATATTGCGTCGAAAATCGTAGGCGTATATTTCGTGAAAAATCGTGAAAAATCTCAATCGTCTAAATTCAACTAGTTTCTCCATTTTTCGCCCGATTGCTTTGAATTTTTTTTTCTTTCTGCCAAAAACTTCTGTTTTTGAGGGTATATTTGACATGGAAATAATGGGGATGGGCGCAATAGTGATGATGAGGATAGAGATGGAGGCGATAATAGTGGCAGGGATGGAGGTGGAGGAAAATAATAGTGGTGGTGGAGATGGCGGAGGTGATGGAGACGAAGTTGGTGGTAGAACACGTATACATTTTGTTTGTTGGGATTGAAGCATGGAAGCAAAGAAAGAAAACAACTCTCAAAAAAGATCCCAGTCCAAGTCAAAAAAAAAAAAAGAGATTCTATATAGGAATTCAATAGAAAATCAATCCTCAACTTGCATCTGATATTATCCCAAATTCTCAAAATTTTCATCCTGAGAACAGTATGATCTTTTGATAGATATGTAGAGAAATAGGTTTAGCTAATTTGCAATATGAAACATAGAAGGATTTTCTTGATCTTTATTGAATCAACAAATATGGTTCAATTGGAACACTCCACAAATTAGCCCAAATTGCATAGATTTGTCTATATTAGAAGAAATGAAAACTGAATAAATATAGATGGATGTTGCGAAGAATCAAAGAATGAGCAATTTTTTATGTTACTGCAATGCAAAATTTCTTCTTCCTAGCAGTCATGGCATTTTCACGTGATCCCTACCACTCAAAGTCAAAGGTGGAAAAGAAAAGAGAAATACGGGAAGACGAAAAGATGACGAGAGAGAGAGATAGTCATGGGGAAAATGAGCGAGGAAATGGGAGAAATGAGACTGTCAGTGAATCATTTAATCCAAGCAGTAATTCAATCATCAACGTGTGTCTAATTTCGTGATTTTACATGGACTCCTGAATCTTTGCTCGAGTCTTGCAACTAGTTATAATTTTTTTTTTCTAGCTTGTACTTATCAGTGACGGTAATTAATGAGCTTGATCTTTCCCTGCACTTAATAGTTAAATACTAAATTTTTTCTTTTTAAATTTTTCAATATAAAATCTAAAGCAATGTGGTATCGGAGATTGAGACGATGGACTGGAGGATTTGAGTTCATGTATCAGAAGATTCCCAGTTCGCCTCTTCCAAACGTTATATTATTATATATCACGGTCCTATAATCAGTAATCACACGTGTCCATGTCATTGTTTCTCCTTTGAAACTTTATGTTGCGTGTAATCCTTCACAAATTAAAAGTAGCTTTCATCGATAAAATAAATTATCGGCTCTTTTTTTTTTTAATTAGAATAGATTAAATTATTAAAAATATTACTGTTACGATAAAATAAAAAACCACAGACAGGAAACATTTGAAAAAAAAAAAAAGCATAATTGTAGAAACAAAAATTCCTTTAGTCAAAAATTGAAAGTCCTTGAAGCATCTTTGAATTTTTATGTCACTTTCCCTATTACACCCGTGGATTGGGTGGGACGCATCTTTGACTTAATGTTGGTTATCAAAAGACATCATCATCATCTTCTGTCATATATTTATGTCTGGCACTCTTGTTATAGTGTAAATTTTGCTATATTTAACATACCTCTTTCTACTGGATCCTTCAATTAAATTTAATAGATTATAAAGTAATTACAAAAGGGTAGAGAGAACAAAGGACAGAAAAATGTCTAACTAGAATTATCTTGGTGAAAACATGATATATCTTTTCTTCTGAAAAAATACACAAAAATTGTAGATAATTACCAAATAACAACAAAAAAAAAAAGAAAAGGAAAAAATTGTGAAGAATGCCAAAAGCAAGGTTCTATTTGGCACTCTGAATCTACGAGGGTTCTATGATCATTCTAGTTCTTCATCATCTAAAATGGTTGCATGATGTATTAATTGAATGAATGAACTTTGTTCGGATCAAGTGTTTTCCACCGTAGTGTATAACTAGCCTAGGAAAATAACTTGGCATCGATCGTAAGACGACTCTTTTCTCCTAGACTACCTTACACTTGGTGTCATTCCTGGCAACAAAGATATCTTTTTTTTTTTTTTTTTTTTGTCAACAGAATGGGTGTCCGGGTCAAGTCCGTAAAGGCGGCCCGACTAATCCCACTCCGACCCAGCCCGACGCGGCAACAAAGATATCAAATCACATGAAATTTGATAAACAGATTTGGCCTCTCGAAATACACTTGTAAGTGTGTTTGCATTGTTACAACCGAAGCAGAATCGATTGTCAATCTCTGTTGTTGTTGTATGGTACTCTGTCCATATGGGGCCAAGTCAGACTTGAAGGTTGAAACTTAAGACACGGAGATATTAATTGGTTATAATCATGGCATGACTTTAAGATTCATCCAAAATGGACTTTTTTTTTTTTTTTTTTTTTCCTTTGTTGCCAACTTAATTCCACCATTGTCGTGTTCACGAGAAGCATAAGATGGCCGAGATCCACATAAAGATTCGATTTGATGTAATTGCCCTTTGAAACTCTCACAATACGAAGAAAGATCATTTGTCAATTCCTTGCCAGTTTTGGACTTCTATGGCATCTGAATTGTCAGAAAAAATGCACCTAGTTTTTGAGCGACTGATTAATTTATGCATGTAAGTTAGAAGTAGAGTTACCAGCCTTCAAAAAATAGAGTGACACCTAAAAGGTATGAAAATAAAGCATGGATACATTTCTCAGCATACTCAATCTCAATTATTGACTTGGTGGTCCGTACTGTTTGCCAACTCATTTGAAAGCACAAGGCATTTGGAATCCCTCTGGGTTTTCCAAAAACAAAATTAAAAAAAAAAGTAATAATATAAATCTTTGACGTCTTCTAGATGGTAATTAATAACTCCAAGTCATTTATCTGAAAAAAATACATATATATCATTAATATTTTATTATTTACTAAAAATTATTATTTTATTTAATTTTTTAAAAAATAAAATAATTATTTTTTATTTTTTTGAACTCGATCGAATTCAAACTTAGTCGAGATTCAACTTTGATTAAATCAAAATTCGACGCACTCGTTTGCAATGCAGTACTTTGCACTCCAAGTCCCAATTATTGACTAAAAAATTCTCCAGCACATGGGATGGGCAGTGGGCACATGATTAAGCAAAGGGCGGAACCTCCAGTAATTGGTGGTATTATAAAGCAGCAATCCTCCGACGCATGGTACGACTATAATTTCTCCTAAAGAAGGACTAGCTTCTTGAGATAAAAAAATTATCTCAAAGAGCGATGGCACAACCAGCTCCCAATATCACCAAAAAGTTGGAAGGCAAAGTTGCCATCATAACAGGCGGTGCCCGTGGCATAGGCGAGGCAACTGCTCGACTTTTTGCCAACCATGGTGCCAGAGTTGTGATCGCTGACATCCAAGATGAAGAGGGCCAAACCGTGGCCGAATCAATTGGCTCAGAAACCTGCAGCTATGTCCATTGCGATGTAGCTGATGAAGAGCAGGTCAAGAAACTGGTCGATTCAACCATCCATGCCTATGGCCAACTAGATATCATGTTCAGCAACGCAGGAGTATTTAGCAAGTCAAAACAATTGGTGATCGATCTTGACTTTGCAGGACTTGATCGAATCATGGCCATCAACGTACGAGGCACGGCGGCATGTGTAAAACACGCAGCGAAAGCGATGGTGGAAAGGGGAGTAAAGGGTAGCATAGTGTGCACGGCGAGTTTAGCAGCCACCACGGGTGGAGAGAGTTGGACTGATTATTACATGTCAAAACATGCTATGTTGGGGCTGATGAGATGTGCTAGCAAGCAGCTGGGGCCACATGGGATTAGGGTCAACGCTGTTTCACCATTTGCTGTTGCTACACCGCTAACGTGCAGCTCGTTTCAGATGGATGCTGAGGAATTTGAGAAGTTGAATCAGCCTCTTTCTTGCTTAAAAGGAACTGTATTGAAAGTTAATCATATTGCTGATGCTGCTTTATTCCTTGCCTCTGATGATTCTGCATTTATCACAGGGCATAATCTGGTGGTTGACGGCGGATGTACGGTTTGATTATCGATTATCATCGCAACAGAAGTTCGTACTTTTTTTTTTTTTTTTTGTTAATTTGTTTCAATGGGTGTTTGAAGGTTTCAAATTATTGCATCCACAGCAGAAGTTAAGAATTTTAAACTAGAATAAATACTTATATCGGACAGAAATATGTGTCTAAGATGCTGTTGTTTTGAATTTGTCGAATTCTGTCAACATAAAATAAGACGACCTATTTAATTTACCTTTTTTTTGTTTTCTGTTGACATGGTAGAGATCAAGAGTACTTTTTTAGTTTCCTTGTTTTGATAAAGGAAATAACGCTAGATTAAGACTAAAGAAGTCAGAGGATGTTTTCATCTCCATACTGGTTTATTCATGTTTGAATTATTTTTTTTGTTTGATCTTCATTGACTAATTTTGTTTTGTAAAATTTAGGTTAAAGGAGGATAAATAAGGTGAAGTGATTAATTTTGTGAGTATTTTTCTGTCGAGAGATAGAAACACACACTCAATTAAATTAAAAACACTCGGGAGGTTAACAGTTGGAGAACCCAATCTATATCTATATGTATTGCAAAAGAGATTTTTAGTAGAGACCCTCTCAATGGCTTCCAAACTTCTCATTCTTTTTTCTAGATTTTTATATTTATTTTAATACATAAAAAGTAGTGGGTTATAACCAACCCTATCACCAATCAAATATTTCAACTATCTACTTCATAAACCGTTTATAATTTGTTATTTATACTTTAAATCTTTTTTACTCCTTAAAAAGAAATTCGATAGATTTAAAACTTATTTTTTCGGGAAAAAAATTACCAACTTTTTTTTAAAGACAAATGCTCATTCGTATGTTATTTTAATACAACGTTACATTTTTATAATTAAAAATATTTGTCACCACTAGAGCTGTTAAACGAGTCGAGTCGACCTCGAGCATAGAACAATCGAGATCGACTCGAACCTTTAATCGAGCTAGCTCGAGCTCGCTCGATTAATAATTCGAGTTTCACAAGGCGCTCGAGATCGACTCGATGTACTGGTAGAAAACTCGAGCTCGGGCTCGAACTCGAGTTTGAGATCGAGCCGAGCTCATCAAGCTCGAGCTCGAGCTCGTCTACGGGAGATACCACATCAGGTCCCGCCACACTCGTATTTAGCCTAACAAAAGAAGATAAACTTTCCCTGATTTATCATCTTCAATTCAACATTTTCACAACACATCAATGACCAAAATGTCCAAAACAGATCATCTATCGCGGATCTGTGACGGTACATGAGCTCAATCGCTTTATATACTTGGGCAAAATAAATATAAATTAATAAAAAAGTTTCCATTCACAAATTTTAGTCCAGACAAAGCAAGAAAAGTTTACGATCCGGGGACAAATTTGGTGGCATAGACCAGGCATTGTTAGCAACTGGGTTGTCAAGATGGTCCAAGAGATTTTCAAGAGGGCCTTTGCCAGTGACAATAGCTTGGACAAAGAAACCGAACACGGAGAACATTGCAAGCCTTCCATTCTTGATTTCCTTCACCTTAAGCTCAGCAAAGGTAACAGGGTCATCGGCTAAACCAAGAGGATCAAAGTACTGGCCACCGTAGAGATCATTGCCCTCTTCGACGCCTTCAAGACCATTGATTCTATATCCTTCAACAAGACCCATGAGAACAACTTGGAAGCCGAGCACTGCCAGCATGCTCTGAGCATGGACAAGGTTGGGGTTTCCCAAGTAGTCAAGCCCACCTTCTGAGAAGATCTGTGCTCCGGCTTTGAACCGCACTGGCTCCTTAAAGTCCACTTTAAGATATTTCTCAAGGACTTCTGGGGTGATGCATCCCAGTGCTCCGAGCATAGCCCCTGGCTCTACCGAGGTGGCTCCGTATGGTGCTGCTCATGGAGTCACGAGAAGGAGGGTGCGGCTGCTCCCTATGGTGAGTCGGTGACAGTGGTGAGAATGGAGGGTGCGGCTGCGGGTGTGGAACTGGAAAAGAGTTGACAGAAAAAGGAAATAGGGGAGGTTAGGGATGGCGTCTGGCGGTGAGAATGGAGGGTCCGTGCGGCGTGAGGCGTGTGACTGAGAATGGAGGGTGATGGCTCATGGCTGCTATGCGGGAAAAGGTTAGTAAAAGAGGAAAGAAAAATTAGGGCTACAGAGTACAGACGGGAGATGACTTAGGTTTAGTACCACATATACGATGAAATGACGACAATACCCTTACCCTTCGAGCCTCACGAGCTTCAACGAGCCGAGCTGTGCTCGGCTCGTTTAATAAACGAGTATTAAGTAGAGCTCGAGCTCGGCTCGTTTCTCTCTGTAAACGAGCCGAGTCGAGCTCTTATCGAGCCGGGTCGAGCTCGGCTCGCGAGCTACCCGATTCGATTAACAGCTCTAGTCACCACACTAACCCTATAATCACCCCTATAAATGAGCTTTACAAATTACAATCACGTTTCAAAAAAATCACAAATGTTCAACTAAATGTAAAGTTGAGGGAGTGAAGTGCAGCTAAATGTAAAGTTAAGGGATATACTATATTTAACCCTAAAAAAAATTCTAAAAAAGGAACAAGTAGTGGGTTATAGATTTTTGTATTTATTTTAATGCATAAAAAGTAGTGGGTTATAACCAACTCTATAACAGGTTGTCGAAACCTGTGCAATAATAAAGTTAAACCTAATTGTCAGTTAAAATGACCAAAATCCAATTCCAAGTACTGGAGCAGGGACTCTAGGTGTGCAATGGGTTACTTGATTCACCCTGTTCCCGAAGAGTTTGCTTGATCCGATATACCCGAGTGGAATGGTTATTCCTTTTCACAAATAATTATGAATTTGTAGACAGGACAAGTAGGGTCGTATCCACAGAGACTGGGTATATTTGTTTCTTAAGAAATTCAAAATAACACAGGGGGTGATTTTGTAGGAACGGCGATAATTAACTAAATTCCAATGAGAAAATAAAAATAAACAACTAACTAGAAATTAAACCACAATTTACCGAACTCAGGATAACAATAATTAAAGGTCTAAATCAATTAAAACAAGGAAACATTCAAAAATAAAATAAAGTAGGCAATTAAAAGTCAAATGGCAATCCACTACAATCAAGGAAATATTAACTAAAGATCTAGCCAAGAAGTAAATTCAGCAACGGTTCACCTAATTGATCATTGATGCAAGGCAATCCCAATTATTTATCAATAAATAGGTTATAACTACCAAACAAACGATGGCAGTCAACCCCTCCTTACTGTGTCGGTGATCAAGGTACGCCCGTTAATCACTGCTCTAATTGAGAAATAATCCTAGGTACGCCCGTAGAATTTAATTCCCCAATTGTCTTACGTATTAGAGGAGCCCTATTCTAACCAAATAACACACTACCAGGGTTATTTTAGATTAGCCCGCGTATCCCCCTGACACGAATCTAATCGTGCCAGTTGTCACTATTTTGAGGTAATTAAACAATTACGAATTTAATACCCCAATTGATAGTAGATTACCAAATCAATTAATTATCCGGATCCAAGACAATCAACTAATTAAATAACCATAAGCATAGTAATCAGGGAATATACGAATACCAATAAAGAAAAGGGAAAGATTAAATTAAATCGATCTCACAATTTTTAGGCGAGCCAGAGCCTTCGTTACTCCTTGACTAGGATTGGAAAATTAGCTCATAATTGATGAACTAAATCCACGGGAAATTGGAAAGAAACCAGCAGCCATTATCTGCGTTTCAGGAAGTTGCAATTCGTCGAACAGTAAGAACGCAAATGAAAGTCTCAAGCTGCAATTGAATCTATTTATTATTCCCAGCATCCGTATGGCAAAACCATACCAGCGGTACAAGGAGGAAAAGTCAAAGCTAAAAGAGAAAGTTGCTTCCTCCTCACATGCGTGGAGAAAAGCCAAAGGAAAACTAACAAGAAAAGTCCCAGTCAAGTCAAGTCAAAAATTTCTCCTAAGCTACGGATGAAGGGCCCAGCAAAAAGCCAGCCGTCCCCTCTCCCCTCTTTTTTTTTGGTTTTTATCCCCTCCTTTTCTCCTGCCTGCTGCCGCAGCTCTCCAGCCAGGGAAGGAACAAAGCCCTTCTTCGGTTCAGCCCATGCCCAAAAGAAAGGGCCCAAAGATTTCTGCCATTTCCAAAATTGCCCCTGAGACAAGCGCTGCTACTTGCTCTCCTTTTCTATCAAATTGATACTTGTTATCATCTGTTTGTTCTACTCCCTGAAATATACGTAAATTAAGAAAAATGAGTAGAATCCAGCAATTAATCCACATCAAGTCAGGTAATAGGGGGAATTAATAATAAAATAAATGAATAAATTGCAACCTATCACTCTATCATCAGTCAAATTTAAAATTTAAAACTTTCTCATAATCTACTTCATAAATCGTTTATAGTTTGTTATTTATATTTTAAATCCTTTTTTCTCCTTAATTAAAGACAAATACTCATTCACATGCTATTTTAATACAATTTTAATTCGGAAGCATACAACATGATCAAGAAACAGCAGAACCAATTAGGTCTAGATTTTGACCCAAAAAAATTAAGCGTAGATGCCACTAACACGTTACTATAACTTGCGATGCGAATTAGGACTATTTAGCGCTTTTTTTTTTTTTTGCAAGGAATTAGGACACTATAAAGCTTATTTAGGCAAACTTTGCCCCATCGGCGATTTGAGTATCAACTTAGGGTCTGTTTGATAATATAAAAAAATGCTGAATCTGAATTTTTTCAGACATTCAGATGTTTTGAGTGTTTGATAAATGAAAATTCATTTGCTGAACTTGTTAAGTAGTGCTGAACTTGTGTGTATTTTTTTCAACTCAAGAATCCTAACTGAATACTTAATTCTGATAATAATCAATAGAATTATTTCACTTACCTTATCTTATCTACCAAATCTACTATTGTTTATTAATTATGTTCAAAATTCTTATATAATTAAACAATCTAATATTTTCTATCTAATGATTTTCTATTTATCTTTTCTCTCTTTTGAATGACTTTCACTTTTTTTCTATACTTCTCATATAATATAATTCATCTTTTATATTAATTTGATTTAAAAATAAATATTATCATTTTCATACCTAATTTTTAGCTAATTAAATCATAGGTTCTATTTTTTTTTGGGTGAAAAGATATAAGGGCAAAATTATCAAATTTAATTTATTAAACATTCAGTTATAAATATTTATCAAATATTATAAATAGGTT